GTGGATTATCTAGACCTGTTTCAGTCAGGTTTCAGTATAGAGAGAGCCATGATTATTGCTGGTGATCTGTGGCAATTGCAAGATGGAGGTGATGCATCCATCCTTGTACTTGTTGATCTCTTAGCAGCTTTGGATACTACTGACTACATCCGGGGTCTTCAAACTTGGCCCTTTTATGACTTGTGGACTTCAACTCCCAGAATTCCTTAGCCAGCATGCCTGACTGAGGAATTCTGGGAGTTGAAATCCACAAGTCATAAAAGGACCAAGGTTGAAGACCCCTAGACTACACTATCATTGTGGATCAGTGCTAAGGATCACGAATGTGGGGGGAGGGCACAGTGTTACGGTAGTTATCTTCTTTAAGGCCAGTTCTAATGGAATTTGGTGAAGGAGAGTGGTCACTCTGTAAGCCTTTCCTTGTGGGATACATCTGGGCTTGATGTTCTTTCCCCTCTTGTTCAACATCTATACAAAAGATATTAAGATCGTCTGCCAGTTGGAGAGCTGGTATCATCAGTAGAGGAGGAGACATAAATTTAGGAGATAGCTTTCAGAAGGAAGAACATAGGGGAAAATTGAAATCTCTCCTTGCCATGAATGCTGGTTGGGACTTCCACATGCTTGCTTGGGAATAAAGTTCTTAGAGACAGAGTATTCTGTAGTGAGTTTCCCATCCACACTAGGGGAAAGTCTGGAAAAAGATGCCATGTTCCTTCAAAAAAGATGCCATGTACCCTCTCTCATGTTCCTTGAGAGAGGACAGTTTCTTTTCCACCACTGGCTCTGCTTTGTTCTGAAGAACACATAAGTCCACTGGCTCTGCCAGGTATTCAGGCAACCCGACTTACCTTTTGATGGGAAGGTGTTGCAGAAAGAAGTTCCTAGCAAGAAATATGGACCTTCCAAATGTAAGGTCCATATGGATACAGCTCTAGCATATCTGAACATGCTGTAGGAATTACTGTCCACATTCAGCCGGAGAGATATCTCCTTTATGTCTAGTTTTCTCAAGTGTCTCTTCTTCATGCCACTGTCTTTTTGCTCAGAAATGAAAATCCTGCTTGGCTTTTGCCAGAAAGAATTTTCAGCTCCTGGGTGGAGAGGCGGTTTAGTAAGGAATGGAGCAAGGGGTGCTTTTGCGGATTGGGGGAGGCCCTGGGAGGCTGCCAGTGAGTGCCTTTCAGCTCAGGGGCTGAAAGTCCTGCCTGGATTTCGGCAGGAAAGATTTTCAGCTTTGAGTGAAGCCTCCCAGTGTCCCCCCCCCTCTCCAAGGCACCCCAATGCTCCTTACCTGGGACTCCACCCACCTAATGACCCACGAAATCGCTTAATGCTTAATGACTAAAACTGGGAGGGGTTGAAATGTAGTCGTAGCAGTCACGTGGGTGTCTTTGCTCTGGTTCCTATTGCGTTCAGGACTATCTGTATTTGATTAAAACCAGTCTTGATTCAGTTAATGTTTGTGCATTGCATTAACTTTTATAGTGAATTTATTTTTGTATAAGCTGCATGACTCTCTTTATTATTGCTTGCAGTCAAGTAGTATAGAAATAGACAAGGATTCCTTTTGGGCTAGGATGGGTTGGTGATTTCTTATGCTTCTAACTGCAAAATCAACCAGACAGTGACAAATGCTCAGGAGATTCCTATGAGGACAGCCCATTGTTTGGGAAGTAAGTATATATGAATCTACTTTCTTAGTCACCATTTGTAGCACTGTTAACCTAAATTACTTTCATCTTACTTTTGTCTTTCCTCTTCTTTCTCTCTTTAGCTTTGTAGTTGTAGCTGAGTTGTTTGCACTAGGTAAGCAGGTCAAAGTAGATTACTGTACTTCATTGTTTAAAAATTGCCCTAATAAGCAGATTAAGTTCCTGTAATGAAGGATTGTCCTGGCTGGTGTCTTAGTGTTGTCTGTGTGATAGGCAAACATTAGAACCTTCTAAATCTACTTAGCATTTGAGTGATAGGAAAGTTCAAATCAACAGAGAATATAGTTCAGGAAGTAGAGACAAACACCAGCTATGAGATATTCTGTTTGGCACTACAATGAGTAGAGATATATCATTGCTGCTCACTAGCCTCTAATTATGGAGAAAAGGATGGAAATAACCTTTTTTTTCATAGAATAAACAGCGGGGAGCAGTTAAATCAAAAGTATTTGGCCTAAGTCTAAGAATGGTTAACTTATAATTCACAAAGTATTTTGGCATGTAGGGTCTGTGGATATGTTTCAAGTTGAATATATGCTTTCTACAAAGTCTTTTAATTTATAGATGCTTAAGAGTTGTTTTTCTCCCACATATTTGAGACTTGCATTATCTTTTAATTGTTACACTCACTGTTCATTACATGTCTTAGCTTACAAGCTTTGGACTTCACAGAATTTTTTTTTTATTGCTTTCCGGTCTGAGAAATACTCAAAGAAAGCTTGCAAACAATTAAACTTCCATGTTTTGTATGATTGCAGTTTAAAGTAGTAATAAAACTTATATTCACTCTTTGTGATTTTTTTTTTAGGGTACTTAGGTATACTTAATCTCTGATCGCAAATAGGCCTGCTCTGTTTCTGTTATTTTTACGTTATGTTTTGGTTTTGTTTATGCAGATCATTCATGTGTTGATATATAGAATTATGGTTCATATAGTAATATACTATACCAGTTACTTTTTCATTAGTAATTCTGTTTGAATTTTAAGTATTTTCCTCTTTATTTAAGAAATAGCTTATTCCCAGTGTGTAAGATTGCAATATGCCCAGCACATTCCTGTTTTTGCTATTGTGTCAGTCAGTGTCAGTCTCTCTCTCTCTCTCTCTCTCTCTGTGTGTGTGTGTGAGAGAGAGAGAGAGAGAGAGTGGGAGAGAGAGAGAGAGAGGAGAATGTATTTCTGTGGATGGATGATCTTATTGGACAGAACATACTTCTTTAGTAGTAAGTACTTATTATTTTCTTATCTCTAGGGTTGGTTCATCCTTATCCTATATTCTTCTAGAGCATTCAGTATATTTCATGTAACCATTCTGTTGATGTTGAGTCTAAAGTACCACTTAACAAGTGAAATCACTTATGTACATCTCCAGTTTAGCCTCAAAGCTTGTATAGTAACTTGCTTTCTCATACTTGCTACCTTTTAACATCCCTAAACAAACTCAAGAGTGCTGTAAGTTGAGGATCCTTATTGGCTTCTATTAACTCTTTCAAGTATTATGATCAAAGCAAAGACTATAGTAACTTTCTCGTGTCCTTAAGTTACTCTGATCTTTAAAGCTAGAACGAGCTTTTTCTTAACCATACAGTCATTCTTTTTTCATATTTTTCTTAATTAATTTTCACTAATATCCTCCATTAAGAGCCTGTAACACTAGTTGAGGAAACCTATATTCAGTGGGAATGTTGTAAACGTTGCCCATGCATTGTAGTAGAAAAGTAGTGCGTGTTTTGTTATTAGATTGATTCTCTTTAAGGCAAACTAAGAAATAACCTCATCTTTGGGCAGAAGCATCTGGGGATAATAAAAGGTGATTAATGATACTGGCATTTATAGCATAGGACTGTGCATGCTTTGAAACGATATGGAACAAAAGCTTTGAATCTGAGTAAACACAGCATTTCTCTGCCTACTCATGAAAGCACCGTCTTTTTGCAGGTCTCCGCGTGAACATGAAAATAGGATGTGATTGCTTTAGTAAAATGAGTCACTAAAGTTGAGCTTTTTACAATTTGGGGAGAGATGGCAATGAAATGGAATTTATAAAATCAAACCAGGCTGGCATTGCAAGAACAGATTGTTGACATAGGAAGCAGAATACCTGGAAAAGTATTGCAACAGGAGAAAGAAAGTGTATTGGATATGTTCACCTGTCTTATTATTTCAAAAAATAACAAAGATGGCATACAAAGAAATGCTTTATAAAAGACATAAAATCATTCCAACAACATTCATCCTGCTTTTGGGGTTAGAGGGGTAAACTCAGAAAATTTTAAAAAAGATTAAAAAAGAGAAACTTTTAGGTCAGCGGCCTCTAACCTTTTGGACATCAGGGACTAGTTACACAGGGGAAGGTTTTTCCGTGGACTGGAGGGGGCATGGTTTTGTGTGCTGCCTGCATCCCGCAAATGGAGCTTCGCTTGTTTGTGTGGCCCGGTTGCTGGCATGCGGCAGCCCGGTGCTGGTCCAGGGACCGGGGGTTGGGGACCCTTGTTCTAAATTATAGTTCATTGTTGGATCTTTGAGTATTCAATTACAATTGCGCAAAACAGTTTAACACTGAATTAATTTTCACATGTTTAGCTGTTCTTTTAAAATCATAAATGTTAATGTAGATTGTTGTTGTTAGTTGCGAAGTCGTGTCCGGCCCATCACGACCCCATGGACAACATTCCTCCAGGCCTTCCTGTCCTCTACCATCTTTTGGACTCCATTTAAGCTCACGCCTACTGCTTCAGTGACTCCATCCAGCCACCTCATTCTCTGTCGTCCCCTTCTTAATATAGGTAGTCCTCAGTTAACAACTGTCTTGTTTAGCAACCATTCAAATTACAGTGGTACTGAAAAAGTAACTTTATGACCACTGCTAAAACTTATGATCATCACAGTGTCATATGTCATATGATTGCTATTGCAGCTGTCCCACATTTACAAATTTACAGCATTCCCGTTGTCATGTAATTGCTATAGGCGAGCTTCACAGCTGGCTTCCAGTAATCAACATGAATAGAGAAACTGGCAATAAAGTCAGGTTATGTTCACAAATCTCACTTAATGACCATGGGCAACTTGCTTAATGACACTGTAAGTCTGGTATGGTCATGTGATGCTTTACCTAACTGCATCGTTTAACAACTTCATTTGTGGTCATTGGGGACTTCTTCTAATTCAAAAATCTGCAAAAATGTGTATCCTACTTAAAGATAAAAAGGGTAAACTGAGAGCTAAATTTGCAGTCCTAAAAATCCTGATATATGGCCATTTATCCTTTTTTCCCTTGATCGTAGTTTGGAGCAGAATTTCGAAGATTTTCTCTGGATCGTTACAAGCCAGGAAAATTCGAAGATTTCTACAAACTTCTCCTTCACATCCACCATATTTCCAACATGGCGGTAATGATAGGCTACGCTGACATCCATGGGGATCTTCTTCCCATTAATAATGATGACAATTTCTACAAAGCAGTTTCAAGTGCAAACCCATTGCTTAGGATTTTTATCCAAAAACAAGGTGAGTTAAAATGTTGAAAACTTAAATGACTTGATTTTTTTTCTTCAGCTGAAAATAGAATCAAAGGCAGCTCCTGGGTGTGTGTGTGTGTGGGGGGGGGAAGACGTCAAGATGGTAGCTGTAACCATGATCATCATCTATACATTTTTACCCTCTCTGCCACCCTCAGGGTGGTACCCCTGAATAGAGTGCCGTGTTTGATGACTTCCCAGCTAAGAAGCTTTAAATAGGGCAAATAAACTGTAGTTAGGCAAGTGTCAAAAATACATCCAACAAAAGACAGTAGCACATTAACATTTGTTCATAGCATGCCCTTGGAATAATTAGCATATTTTCCTCATTAATATGGCAAGTGCCATCCTCTTGCTGGTAACTGGCAAGAACTGAGTATCCTTCAGAAATTGTTCTTTTATATATTTAGAAAGGTGCTTAACACTGAAACAGCCACTAAAGTTTGCAGACTGCTTCTTGCATAAATAAATAACACTGGAAATTACAGAGCTTCACATCTTATGAAAAACAGGGATAAATTTCCCTAACATTGTATAATAATCTGAAAGAATTTTTATTAAATGATATACCTCTGTTATATGACAGCAGAAAATTATCTAGAATTGTGTAAAGGTACTTCATGTTAATGTTGGAAATGTGAAGGGTCATTTTATTATGTTTGGTGGACATGTAAAAAAACTAAAAATTGTTGGGTTCAAATGTGATTCAGAGAACTTTAAACATTGGCATTCAGTTGAAACCAGAATCTTTGGTCCTGGGATTGAACCATGAAACACTGTTTTTATGTATAAAAACTGCAGTGAGATTACTGTACGCGGAAAGATAGAAAGATTTGGCAATCAAACAATGGAGGAATGGTTAGTGAAGATGACAGAACTTGCCAAAATTGCTAAAGTGACTTGTTTGATTAGAGAAAAGACAAAATCCACATTTATGGATGGCTGGAAACCCCTTATGGACATTTTGCATAAAAAAATGAACTTATGATTTATGGTTTTGATTATTAGACAAACTAGATCACAGGTGTCAAACTTGCGATGTGTCGCGACGTATCACGACTTTTTCCCCATTGCCAGCAATGGGGTGGGCATGGTTTTGGCGTGACGCATCCGGCCCACGGGCCGGCAGTTTGACACCCCTGGACTAGATCAGAAGTAGGCAACCTTGGCTCTTTTATGACTCGTGGACTTCAACTCCCAGAATTCCTGAGCCAGCATGCCTACCAAGGTTGCCTACCCCTGGACTAGATTACAGAAAGGAGAGAAACATTAGATAATTTTAGAGAGTGGTTAAATTATAATTTTAATTATAACTGCTGTGAACAAAATCAGAAGCAACTTTTTTACACAGGTAGTCCTCGACTTACAACAGTTCATTTAGTGACCATTCAAAGTTATAACAGCACTTAAAAAATGACTTATGACCATTTTTCACACTTAAGACTGTTGCAGCAACCCCAGGGTCACGTGATCAAAATTCAGAGGCTTGGCACCTGACTCATATATATGACCATTGCAGTGTCCCGGGGCCATGGGATCCCCTATTGCGAACATCTGACAAGCAAAGTCAATGGGGAAGCCAGATTCACTTAACAACCGGGTTGCTAACTTATCAAACTATGGCAAGAAAGGTCGTAAAATGGGAGAAAACTCACTTAACAAATGTCTCACTTAGCAACAGAAATTTTGGGCTCAATTGTGGTCGTAAGTCGAGGGGCTACCTGTATCTTTTTCTTCCTTTCCTTCTATTTTTCTCTTCTTTTTTTTGCATTTTTTAGCTTTTTCTTTTCTCACTTTCTCTTTTTTCTTCTATTTTAGCTTGTAGTAGTTCTTATTGTTGTTGTTAAAACTTTCATATATATAAAAAAGAAATAGGGATAGGATTCCGTCTGCTGGGATTGCTTTGTCTCTCTATGGTAATGAAATAAGAGATTTTATTGTTTTGTTTTGTTTTTATAATACATGCTACCATTCTGAGAAATTTTGTTTCACATATTCTTTACATTAGGGATCCGTGGCATTCCTGATTTGCTTGTCTAATAATAGATTTGTTTTTATATTCCTGGGTTAATGTTAAACATATCAATAACACAAAACCGAATTGTGCACCCATTCTCAAGCTGCCATATTCCACAGACATTCACGGAACACTGATTTTCTTCCCCTTTGTCTCTGTTTGGTTCCACCTTCAAGGTCACAAATTTACCATGACACAAAGCAGATATTTGTGGTGGGAGGGGAAGGCTTTACAAAAAAAGGGGGGGACACCAGATATTGTGGTGATGCCACTGGAAAGGGAGAGGCAGAATTTTGAGACATGTTGCATTTGTAGGGAACAAATCAATGGAGACAGGGAGTCTCTAAACCAGACAACTTTAAGACTTGTGTAATTCCCAGAATTCTCTAGCCCAGTGGTTCTCAACCTTTTTAATGCAGCGACCCCCAACTGGTCGTAAGACGAGGACTAAACCGGTCGTAAGTTGAGGACTAAACCGGTCGTAAGTCAAGGACTACCCAACCGGTCGTAAGTCGAGGACTTTCCCTGCCCGGGAGCGCCGCACATGCGTGGTTCCGCCCCCTGCGCCGGCCGAGGCGTAGCTGGCAAGCGGCAGAGACGGAGCAGGCCAACCACCAGCTGGCCCAGCTCAAGGGAGGTAAGGCACCCGCCAGAAAAGGGGAAAAAAATGGCAGACAGCCTTGCTTGGCGACCCCCATGAAATGGTCGATCGACCCCAAATGGGGTCGCGACCCATAGGTTGAGAACCGCTGCTCTAGCCAGACATAGCTGCCTGAGGAATTCTCAGAGTTGAGGTCAACAAGTCTTAAAGTTGCCAAGTTGGAAGACCTTTGGACTGGGAGATCCAGGTTCTAATCCTTCCATAGAAAAAGAAGCTGGCTGGCTGACTCAAGGTTAGTTACTCTCGGCTCCAAAAGAGCATCAAACTTCGCAACAAGCCAGCGGAAGTGCAAGTCCTCCATGGCATCATGCGCTAATCAATGGTTTTGCCCTGTGTCCCAAGTGAACATAGTGCAGACAATCGCACTCTGCAACCAAATGGCACAAAACACTACAGTTTAAAAAAAAAAAAATCTTACCTTCCCAAATTAATCTAAAAATGTATTTTACTAGAGATCTATTTTAGGGCTCCCCCCCAAATTAATTTATTTTGATTCATAGAGATAAAACCTTCATTTTATTTTATTTTTTTTGCTAAACCACTATGTTGTTTATTTCAGCTTGCCTACGATGCCGGAAACTGTAGGGCCTGATAGTTTTGTGTGAAGTTGTTAAAATATTTTTTTATAATGTGGCAAGAATAAGGAGGCTTGGGTAGGTGATAGGTTGACTAGCCAATGTGAACACACTCACCTTTGATCATCATAGTTTGAAGGAAGTAGAATATATACAGGTAGTCCTCAACTTACAGTTCATTTAGTGACCGTTCGAAGTTACGGCACTGAAAAAAAAAGTGATTTACAACCATTTTTCACACTTATGACCATTGCAGCATCTCCATGGTCACGTGATTTATATTCAGATGCTTGATAAATGGTTCATATTTATGACGGCTGCAGTGTCCCGGGGTCACGTGATCATGTTTTGTGACGTTCTGACAAGCAAAGACAACGGGGAAGCCAGAGTCACTTGACAACCGGGTTACTGATTTAACATCTGCAATGATTCACTTGATAAGCCGCCTGGGAAAGCCAAGGGAAATCATCCAAACAATTAAAAAACAAAAGTTAGAATTTTTCGAACATGTGATGCAACACCCAGAAAAATACGGCATACTCCATTTAATCCTCCAGGGAAACAGGGGTAGGCAACCTTGGCTGTTTTATAACTCGTGGACTTCAACTCCCAGAATTCCTGAGCCCTCAGGAATTCTGGGAGTTGAAGTCCACGAGTCATAAAAGAGCCAAGGTTGTCTACCCCTGTTCCAGGGTAAGATTGAGGGCAAACGAGGTCCAGGTAGAAGAAGAACATCATGGCTTCAAAATGTAAGGGACTGGTTTGGACAAAACTCAGCAGCACTTTTTCGTGCAGCTGCTGATAAAAACGGGATCACCAACATGATCGCCAACGGATATGGCACAAGAAGGAGAAGAATAATTATTCACTTAACGAATGTGGCAAGAAAAGTTGTAAAATGGGACCAAAAAACCCATTTAACAAATGTCTCCCGTAGCAACGTAAATTCTGGGCTCAGTTGTGGTCTTTAGTCAAGGCCTACCTGGATAAAGCTATAAGGCCTGTATAAAATTTGAAGATCTGGAAAATGTAATTGTTTCTCTTTCACATTCCCTTACCAGCCATTCTAATAGTACAGCTGACATCTTCAGCTTTACTCACTTCCAGTGTAAAACCGGTGGTGTATGTTAGAGTAGTAGTTATTTGCAAAAGGCTTGCCAAGGCTTAACTTTGGACTCAAATGCGTTCCCAAGAAAATAAAAAGGCTTTGCTTTCCTCTTGATACCAAATCAAAACATCCCTCTTTCCTCCAAGAATCTGAACATTTATTTTTCTTTTAAGTGATTTGTTGGCTTGAATTTTTTTATTATTATCTTGGTATTGTACTGTAAGATAAATAACACAAGAAGCAAATGCCCTATCCTGCGATCTTTGGTGGAGAAATAGTTGTTATTACACTTAAAGCTGGCTGCACTTAAGTGATTAGTTACTTTTTTTGTGAATTTTAAGATCAAAGGCTTTAAAGAACTCCAAAGCTCTCAATGGGTGTTTCTTTGCCAATACACTTATTCTGTCTGTTGTTGCTTGATACACCAGCAAAGCAGATTGTGGGCGGATTACTATATTGGACCAATATTCTTCTCTTATTTCAGAGTCTAGGGAATACACAGATGTCCTGCTTTAGGGGCTCTCTTTCCTTCCCCCCCGCCCCCACCTGCTGTGCAAGCTGAGGCCACTGATGCTCTTAATTGCAATTGAAATAGATACCTTTCCGCAGGTGGAGAAGTTGATAGATGTAACATGCAACATGAGTTTAGATCCTGGCAACATGCAACATGAGTTTAGATCCTGGCTGAGTTTCATTGGACAACCTTGGGGCCCGTTCTTTACATTTAGCCTTTGTCCTCTGTCTGCATAAAAGGGACAATGTCTTGTTTTATTATGACGATAAGGAAGGAAAATGCTATCTTGCATGAGCCTTAAAGATTGGAGGAGGAGGAGGAGGAGGAGGAGGAGGAGGAGGAGGAGATGTATCTAAATACCACTTCCTTACCGGTAGTAAGTGAAGTAACACTGGCTGGGTCTTTAAAGAAAGAATTGATTGTTTTTCACAGGCCTTTCCCCCCCAGGAACAATTCAGCAAAATGGGATGCAGTGTCTTCCTCTCTAATTAAATTAGTAGGTAGATTGTTCTTCTTATTGTCCATAGTGCGAAAGACCCAGATAGCCTAAATTCTGATCTAGATGTCCATTCAATTGATTTTTTTGAAGTCATGTGTTTTGCAGATGAGGAAATGATCATGTACCATAAGAAGCAGGTGCTTAAAACACTCAAAGCAACCCTTCACGTTCAAAATTGTTTGAAGCATTTTGCGTATATCTACCACTTAGGAATACAAGTTGTACTTAGTGTCATTTAAATGGCGGCTGACACATCACTTGAGGCATTGAGTTTAGAGTATCTGTTAAATCTTTCAATGGCATCCTTGCTTTAATGTGCCAATGTTCACTGGAGATCTATGAAATGAAGGCTATTTGGCAGACTTTTTATTATTATTATTATTATTATTATTATTATTATTATTATTATTATTATTATTATTTCAATTTATATCCCGCCCTTCTCCCGAAGGACTCAGGGCGGCTCACAACATTATTTAAAAGACAAAGAAAGACTCACACACCCCACCGAATAAAACCAAATTAAAACCAATATTTTAGTGTTGTGGTGATTAAAATTTCTAAA